TCTCAAATCACCCTAGAAACTTTTCATTAGGGGAATTCAATCAGCAACAACAAAATCAAGGTTAAAAAAAAAAAAAACTTGTAAAGTGAATACTGTAAGACATAATACAGTAACATGTTATTTTTACAGATTTCTCAAAAAAGAAATTGCTTTATCTTGACTTTGTGTGTGTTCATGTGTGTGTGTGTGTGTGTGTTTTAAATATAATTACACCATTTTCCCTTTCCTCCTCCAACCCCTTTCCAAAGCTATTTTTTTAATTCTTTGAGAATTTCAAACAGTGGATTCCGATTATCACACCCTCCCCAAACTCCAATCAAATCCATGCCTCCCTCCACAACTTTGTGTCCTCCTTTCCCTTTAAACATGAAGTCCAAGTCATGCTGCCCATCTCTTCTTGGGAGTATAGCCATCCACTAGAGCAGAGTAGGATAAGAACAGCAAAAGTTTTGATACTTCTTTCCATGCTGCCTTTTAAATGTGTAATTCCATCAGTTTTCTGTTTTATTCTAAGTATTGTTATGAAAAGGCTATACTTTATATAACATAAATGATATTTTTTGTTAAAGAACATTGGAGTGGATACAGGGAGTGACAGATAAAGGAGCAACATATCATACTATTGAAACATAAAAACTAAAGGAAGTGTTACTAGAAAGAGCAAATGAAAATATACACAAAGTCAAACCTGGTGTAATGGCACATACTCCCAGCACTGGGGAGGCAGACACCGGTCTACACAGCAGTTTCCAGCCAAGCCAGGGATATATAGTCAGATTCTATCTCAAAAAAATACAGTTTCCCTTTGGGACCTTTGCATAAGCATTTGCACCCATTGTTATAACAGGTAGTTGTCCTCAGCGAACTCTACCCCACATTACACTCCAATTCTAATTATTTTCTCAGTCATTATTTATATGACACAAAATCCACATCTTCCGGAAGATAAAATGAGGTACTGCTTATGCAGCTCTGTAGTCTTGACAGGGGTTAGCTGAAATCCACAGATTTATTTTGAAAAGGAAAGTTTCTCATCAGTTGAGAAAAAGACCTGGAAAACCATTACCAACTGATCTAGGAAAGAGCAATCCTCTAGAAACACAAGCAGGAGGCCTTGCTCTCTGACCTAGCAGCATGGTGCGATCAGACGTCATCTAACTATACCTGAGGTAGATGAACATGCAACATGTAAACATTGCTTCTTCGTGAATGAAAACTGCAGAGATCATTAGCACATCCATGGGGGGGTGGATGCTTCAAAGAAGAAAACAATGCATGTAGTAGATATTAATGGAACCTGCTGCCTCTTAAAATCCTGCAACAGAAGATGATCAAATTCTCAAGTGCCTTGAGGAAAGCTAACAAAGACCATGTAGGACTTTCTGGCAGGGGTCTCAGTGTGGAAAGGGGGGTGACAGGAAGAAATGGGAACCCTTATCAGAGACACAGAAGGAGACAGAATTGGATGCCAATTCTCCATAATTTGAGTCCAAATATTTGAAGGCAGTTTAAGCTACAAAGAGCAGTAATTGCTTCCAAGGACAGGATGAAATCAAAAGTATATAAAATGGCCTCTGAAACCTTGTTTTAGAAAGCAAATATGTCTGG